TCAGTGGCTGCTGCGCCGGCTCGATCATTCTTCACGCTGAATCCGGAACAAGGTGAGGGGAGCAGCATGAAGCATGCAGGGCCCAGGACAGGAGGAAGAGGTCCCGGTACTGATATTAGCGGTTACCGGGATATTAAATATCCTGGTAATCAGCAGTTACTACCGGCCCCGTCCTTCTGCCCTGGGCCCCCTCTAAGTGGCAGAACTCCAGTGCACAGTCGCAGCTGCGACCTCTGCGACCCTGGTCGTTCCGCCACTGCTGTTAAGGGCAGAGCAGCAATAAAATAAAAAAATATACAGAAATCTGTGGGGAGAAGTACCTTGCAAATCAGCTAAGTGGAGAAGTGCTGCAGAAAGCATCATGTTCCATGTTAGACCCAGCCATCAGGTAAAAAATTTTTACAGGCAGTATACCTTCACTATAATCTATTATTATTATTATTATTATTATCATTATTCTTCAGAATTTATATAGCATCAACAGTTTGCACAGTGCTTTACAAATCAAGGAGGAGACAGTACCATTACAAAACAGTTCCATAGAGGATCAGAAAGGCCCTGCTTGTGAGAGCGTACAATCTATATTGTATGGCCCCTATTTTATTAGCACTCCACATTGCTTCTACAACAAGCATCTGTAGGTGGGTAATGGCAATGAATGTTGTGTGTGTTATAAAATGATATACAGCTGTAAAACCATTATATTCTATAGAATGAGCAGTACTTAGAAATGAGCAATCAGTTTTCCTCTTTGCTTTGAACTAGAACCTCTCCTCCAGAATGACTGTATATGTAGAAGTGTGGGTGTAGAGTCATTGCAGTTATGGGAGAAGGGGGTGATAACAATGACAGATTGTTTATTAAGAGACTGCACCTGTTTTGAAAACATAACATAATATCATAAATAATCCTGTTAACATGTTGGTTTCTCATTTACATGCTTGGCTTACATCCAGAATCTGGGCACACAAGTATTTGCAAAACAATACATCTGTGAAATGTTAATAGGAGATAAATAGCAGAGATTTATCTTCACGCACATTAAACATTTAAACTACTAGTCCAGCCAAAATGAATTATCAGAAATGTAATGCAGAAAGGAAAATGTATTGTTCTTTAAAGGATTACTCCAGCAAGCACCCACTATTTAAGTTACACATGCAGTATAAATTAAAAAACAGTTAATCAGCTATTAACCTTTGTTTTTGTATAATTAGTAAAGTACAGCTTCACAAATGATGGGGCTCAATTGCAGAAAATGGAACATTTCACAAGCAAAATCCTGTTTGTTCTGGGGCAGCAAACAAGCTTTTCACACAATGCAGTTCCGTTTTACAGCAACAATACTACACAAACCCAGAAATCATGCATTACTGATGTGAGGGGATTTATAAATGGCACACACCCAGGGAATAATTCATTGTGGCTTACAATCAAATAAGAGTAGATAACACTATTAATAAGGGCTCATGCATACATATGTATTTCAGTAACAAGCATTAAAAGGTGCAGTACTAATGCACAATGGGGTGTATTATCGAGCTGTAAATTTTCAATGACCCCCTAATGCACTTAGCCAGGGCACTGCAGTGAAAGCATACATCCGAAGATGCTCAGCTCTAAGTTTCTGCAATAGCATGTCTGCACCTCTAGGTGCTGGCTTCAGGTACAGGAACAGGTTCATCTTCACCGGCCAATATACTCCAAAAAGATACATGCTCTACTTAATTGTTTATTTCAGAGAAGCCTCATCACCCACCTCAACTCTTACATAGAACCCGTTTCACCCTTTATTATGCTGAGACGAAGCGCAGTAGAAGGTGAAACGTGTTAGTGGGGGAGCTCAGGTAGGTGATGTGACTCCTTTGAAATTGGAGGACATCGGAGTGTGGTTCAGGGCACTGCAATGCATGCACATTTTAGCACACTGCACACACTGGGAACCATATGTGTGCTGTGGTGTGTTGTGTTGAATAAAAAAAGAGGGTGAGTACTTTTTTGTGGTGCAATGAGGTGTGCACTGTCAGCCTATTCAGAAAGAGTCAGCTACTTTAATGCAGCAGGCTTTAAGGAACAAAAATGCATACTGTGACTGGACCCTGTGTGTTTTTTTACTCTATTTTCAATCTTTTCAATTCATCTTTGTGTTGCACAAAGGACACATGATTTAACAAAGCCGGACCCAGAACAACGCTAAAGCTCACGTTGAACTTTTTCTTGTGTGAGTTATCATCCTCTAAAAGACTCCTAATTATTTATTATCCTGTCTAGATCTGTTTATTATCCTCTCTGGATCACTTGTTAATGTACACATCAAATCTCACAGTCCGAATCATGGCAATAAACAGAGCATTAAAGAGCATACTAAGTGCCAGCTAATCAGCATTGTTTTAATTCTTGTCAAGGTCATACATGCAGTAACTGTAGCATATATTAGAAGCTTTTCTTAGCAAGGAGGTTATCTTTAAAATTAACTCCTACTGAGTTGTCCTGTTTCCTATTGTAAGCTGTGCCAGTGGTTGAGCTCCTCAGGAGGATTGGGTTATAAAAAGATCAGAGCTTAGGCTGCAAAGTAATTATCAACCTGTTCCTTAGCTCCGAAGGCTGACTCAGTTTGTACAACGTGAGTCTGCTGCCCACCTGCAAGGTAGAAAAAAGAAGTTTGTCGCTTTATAGGCAACCAACAGAGACCTATAGTACAGACCAAGTTAAAATAAACCTGTCAAGACAAAAACACGGGGCGGCCATTGTTGAATTTGTTTCTGTGAAAGTTAGCTGCTGTCTATCATGCTGATCCCTTTGCTTCCATAGTTTAAAGCAATACCATGGAAGAAGATGCTGAGAACTCTTCTCTGACTTCCCTGATCTGCCTTTTTGTCCTGAATTAGTGACTCAGAAAGTTAAAACAAAGTATCTTTGTTAGTCATATGTTGGATGTTTCCTAAAGTTGCTGAAAATATTTGATACTATTAAAATAAGTAAGGAGTAGATATCTTTGAAACCTTTTGTTCACAGCCATTGGAATTGAGATGGGTTACAGGTTCCCAGTGGAACATTAAAGCCGAACTCCGGGGAAATTATTTTTTAACCCTTGCAGTGGGGCTATCTCTGCAATGCAAGGGTTAATATTGTACTAAAGGTTGGGTGTTGTTTTCCTTAATGCATTCTCTGCATTAAGGTAAAAAACACCCAGTAGGTTTGTGTGTCCCCCCCACACACACTTTCCTGTGAACACTGCAGTCGCCGCAGCTGGACCCGGAAGCGATCCTCCGTTATAGAACTTCCTGGTGGCTGGGGGAGGATACTGAGGGTAGAGGAGCCATAGGCTCCTACTGCAGTCAATCTGTTGGGAGAAGAGGAGGGGCGTGGCCTGCTGCACACTGTGAATGTGTATTTACTGTCTATGACATCGCTGCAGCAGAGGAGGAGACAGAAGGAAGGGTTCGGTCTAAGAGCAAGGTGGCTCAGAGGATTGGGTGAGTATATCGTTGTTGTTTTTAAACCTAGAAAAAATTAGCACTTAAGCCTTGCAGTGCAGGGGAAGACCCACGTCAAGGGTTAAGAAAACATTTCCCTGGAGTTCTGCTTTAATGTGTGTTTTTAAAAGCATCTAATGTAAGTTCCTGACTTTGACTAGGTATCAGTCTGTTGCATTTCTCTGTGCAGCACTTGGTGGGAGTAGGGCAACATAAGCTAACCTTGTGTGCTGCAGTGCTCATGTACTAACAAGGAACATGTTGACAGCAGAGAGTCAGAGAGATGAACTCACCAGTGTGTTGCTTTTCCTTTAATGTCTAATTACAGGATAGGGACAGGGACAAAACCTCATTTACTTAAATGCAGTATAAAAAATTAGTTCTTCAGGCTAGCTGTGTTGTCTGGCAGGGCTGTGTACATCTCAGGAATAAATGGAAATCCTTTGGCTGGTAAAACAACTCCTATATATCTATATATCTATCTATATATA